CTTCGACCGATTTAAGGTAAATTGTGTACCAAAGTCCGAATATATTCTTCGATTTGCACGAAAGTTGGCATATCGTACTGAATTAAGTCCAGAATGATGTGTTCAAAGTTTCGTGAAAATCGGTTCAGATTTAGATATAGCTCCCATATATAACTTCGGCCGATTTTATGTAAATAGTACACTAAAGTCACTGGAAATATTTTGGTTTGCACGAATTTTGGCATAGCGTACTGAATTAAGTCCAGAATGATGTGTGCCAAGTTTCGTGAAAATCGGTTCAGATTTAGCTATAGCTCCCATATATAACTTCGTCCGATTTTAGGTAAATAGTACACTAAAGTCACTGGAAATATTTTGGTTTGCACGAATTTTGGCATAGCGTACTGAATTAAGTCTAGAATGATGTGTGCAAAGTTTCGTGACAATCGGTTCAGATTTAGATATAGCTCCCATATATAACTTCGCCCGATTTTAGGTAAATAGTCCACTAAACTCACTGGAAATCTTTTGGTACTGAATTAAGTCCAGAATGATGTGTGCAAAGTTTCGTGACAATCGGTTCAGATTTAGATATAGCTCCCAAAGACCCTATATATCTTTCGATTTGCACGAATTTTGGTATAGGGTACTACGTGAAAAGATCCATAGCTAGGCCGATTGACACAACGTACTGAAGTAATATAAATTAGTCTGTGGCAAGTTTCCCTGAAATTGGATCAGATAGAGAAATATACCCAAAGTGGTGAAGGGTATCATATAGTCGGCGCAGTCCGACTTTTGAACTTTCCTTACTGGTTTTCTCACCAATAGTGGACATTACTATTGGTGAGAATTTAAAAAAAAATATTTCTAAGGTCTAACATAAGTGTGGATTTGTTAAAAATATTTTTGGAGGTCCACTATAGGACAACCAAAGGCGTGGATTTTTTAAAAATAATTTTCCAATGGCAACCAAAATCGTAATTTTTTTAAAAATATTTTTCTATGGACAACCAAAGCGTGGAGTTTTTAAAAATACTAAAATATATTTAAACACCCACTTATTATTGCACGCATCTGTAGTTTACGATAAAATGCTGCTATTAGTTTTATATTTGCTTTTTTGTTTCTGTGTTATTTTTTTTTTACTTTCTTTGTTCACTGATTTATAAATAAACTCTATTGAAATCATGCTAAAAATAGCATAGAGGGATTTTCTCATTTTATTCGTTCGTGTCCTTCAACAACTTTCTCTTCTATTTTGCCATTCAGTAGCTTTCTCTTGATGGAACATAATTTCAAGTCAAACACATGCAAACACACACACACAGGCACATGAACACATGTCCATACAATGTTGTACTCCCTATTGTGGCAACAAAATACATACATACACACACATTTGCACAATGGAACACAAGTAGAATGGAGCCTAAGGCAATGAAGAATTTACAAACCAAGCAAACATCGAGCCAACCAACCAAACTACCAACCAGCCATCCAACTAACCAACAAACAAACCAGCCTACAACTATTTTTATATTCAAAGTTTACACTCGCACACACACACTTGCATAGATTCATGGAGCTGAACATATGAATATAATTCATATGCCATTCACATCCTCGTCATCGGCCACTCTCGCCGAGATAAGTTAGCAGTGAGTGGTGGTCGACAACAGGCAAACTGTAGTCGTAAATGAGCGCTACTCGAGCATGAATGTGTAAGCGAACGACGACGACAACAGTAAACATATGCACCCATACACAAACAGACACACACACACACACAAATACATAATGTGTTAGGCTCCAAGCACAAACACACTCACACACCGATAGACTGACTGGCGATGCTGAAAGATTGCAGGACTCTTTGGGTCCAGCTTCCGCCATTTGATGATGGGCATCGTTAGGGAAGTGGGTCGATGTGTGCGGCAAGTGCTGTGCCTTATAAACAACTGTGTCACCTCACATAGAATGGAAATGATATCACTCACAATTAAATTACTGCGAAGGAAAAATCCAAGTTAAGAAAAATAATTGAATGAATTTAACATTATCATCCGGTATTTGTTAGGATACGTATTCGTTCATTAATGGACGGATTAACGTGGTGGAGTAAATCATGGAACATTTACAGAAAGAAAATGGCGATTTCTAGGCCTTGAAAAAATATTCTTTAAAAAATCCACGCCTCATATTAGGCCCTGAAAAAATATTCTTTAAAAAATCCACGCCTCCTATTAGGCCTTGAAAAATATTCTCTATAAAATCCACGCCTCATATTAGGCCTTGAAAAATTATTATTTATAAAATCCAGGCCTCATATTAGGCCTTGAAAAAATATTCTTTAAAAATCCACGCCTCATATTAGGCCTTAAAAAAATATTGTTTAAAAAAGTCCACGCCTCATATTAGGCCTTGAAAAAATATTCTTTAAAAAGTCCACGCCACATATTAGGCCTTGAAAAAATATTCTTTAAAAAGTCCACGCCACATATTAGGCCTTGAAAAAATATTCTTCCAAAAATATCCACGCCTCATATTAGGCCCTGAAAAAATATTCTTTAAAAAATCCACGCCTCATATTAGGCCTTGAAAAAATATTCTTTAAACAAATCCACGCATCATATTTGGCCTTGAAAAATATTCTTTAAAAAGTCCACGCCTCATATTAGGCCCTAAAAAATATTCTTTAAAAAATCCACTCCTCATATTAGGCCCTGAAAAAATAATCTTTAAAAAATCCACGCCTCATATTAGGCCCTGAAAAAATAATCTTTAAAAAATCCACGCCTCATATTCGGCCCTGAAAAAAATATTTTTAAAAAAATCCACGCCTCAGATTAGGCCCTGAAAAAATATTCTTTAAGAAATCCACGCTTCATACTAGGCCCTGATAAAATATTCTTTAAAAAATCCACGCCTCATATTAGGCCTTGAAAAAATATTCTTTAAAAAATCCACGCCTCATATTATGCCTTGAAAAATATTCTTTAAAAAATCCACGCCTCATATTAGGTCTTACAAAAATATTTAAGATCCAGTGAGCGGAGCAGTATATAGGACGGGACCGGATTTTTATTCCGAGCCTGGGTAATATTTCGTGATATTTGCCCCGACAGCCCTTCTAGTTACTTGTCCAGATTCCCTTCACTGTGGGTTGTGTTGTGATGTTCGGCTTATATTCGACTAGAAACACACAAAAAAAAGCTTTCGGTCCACTTCAAACCAACATTTTAATCCGATCTTTACCGAAAATTATAGGCGTTGTCTTTGACCATAATTGGAACTTCATGAAAAATTTTAAAGCGATCAGCGCTATATTTCCTCCCTCCAGCGTGGTAATAGGTTACTAAATAATATCTGAATACCTGTAAATATTTGAGTGTAACTCCCACATCATAGTACTTACGACAATATAATTGGAATCGACTCTATGTCCTTCAGGAGTAAATATATACGTCATAGAGTAAAAATTTTGTCATTTTTCACATAAAAGTGAGGGTCCATTTAAACCCGTTAAATATTGATCAATCTTTATCAAAATAGGTCTTTGGCCTGATACCCTTCTCCATGTAAATTTTCGCGATGTTCGGGTCATATTTGCGGCCTCTAGAGCGACCAGAAAAACCGACAAAAATTAAGTATTTGCTCCCTTTCATCCCTTAAATATTAGCCGATCTTTACGAAAAACAATAGGGGTCTTCATTGGCCAGAACCCACCCGACATGCAAAATTTCGTGACGATTGGTTCATAACTGTGGCCTGTATCGTGTTTACAAATTATGGTGGACAGACGGACGGAGACACATGTGACTCAGCTAGTCAAGATATGACTATCGGTATACTTAATGGTGTGTCTAAGATCAATATTTCGCGGCGTTACAAACTCTTGGGGCTGCACAAAGCTATAATACCCTGACAACATAGTTGTGTAGGGTATAATAATACCCTGACAATATAGTTGTAGGGTATAAAAATTAAAGCCTGAAAAAATATATTTTCTTAAATAATGCACGCCTGAAAAAATATTCATTAAGAAATCAAATATTCATTTAATTTTTTTTTTTAAAAAATCCCACCAGCATTGGATTTCCAAAAAATATCATGAATGGAGATAGTGCCTTAGTTGACCCTGGATTTTTTTAATCCCAGCCTCGTTTGTTTCTTGAAAAATATTCATTAAAAAATCAACACCCATACAAGTTCCTTGAAAAATACTATTGACATAGTTAGACCTTTTTAAAAAAATCCTCGCTAGCTTGATCTTCAAATATATTCATAAAATCCTTCTTGGGTCCTTAAAAAATTTACTCAACAAAACAGTCTCTTTTTTGGGTCCAAAAAATCTATGACAAAGAATCTTTTTTGATCAGCCACAAAATTTGTTTCTGAATCATAATCAACCAGGCTGCCAGCAAAAGATTTTGAACTTCCTCTTTGTGTTTGACACAGTCTCTCAGAGTAGTCGTCGTCATTCTTTCGTACAAAAACAAATAAGGCAACAACGATTTTTTTGGGCTAAAGACAAAAACGGAATGAACGAAGAACCAACGAAACGAAAAAAACAAACGTGAGGGTCCTTGGGTAAGGGGCATAAAGGACATGTGCTCGTCGTGGCGCTGATGGTGGATGAATGGTTGATTGGTTAAAGTTGTAACCAGTAACACCACTACCACCACCAACATCGCCACCACCACCACCACAATCAAACCCCATTCGACTTCAAACATTTATTTCGACAGCCGGTAATGCGCACTGTGACGCAGAAGGAGGAAGACAGAAAAAAAAATCACAACAAAAGGAATCAAATGATTGTGACTGTTATAAAAATTATAGCAATGTGAGTGTGTGTGTGTGTGTGACAACCACAAATGCATTGCCAAAAAAATAAATGACACTTCCTCTATATGCCGCCGCTGTATGAATGATAAGACAATTGCTGCAACCAATTGTACCAAATATTGACTTCCCAAAAACAGGAAGAGGCGAGGCGAGGCGTATGGACATCTTACCTGTTTGGACCACAGTAGACCATGGTGTGTTTGGTGTAGTTTTCTTTAATGAAACTCCTTTTTGTGGATTTGCGATTTCCTACGTAGTTCTGTAGAAAATGAAAAGTGCTGTGGCGGCTGTTGTGGCTCCTTGTGGCTGGCTAGTCGTAGCTAATATTGTAAATTGATATCATTCCGGAAACGGAAGTAGGCCTGGCAATTGATCCTATATAGGCTAGGTTGTGTGGTCCGGATTTGTGTCAATGTGCGTGGATTTTGTGTTGAAGTTATACGGCTGACTGACTGGCTGGCTGTTTGTTTATTGATTGGTGGCTGGCTGCACAGCAACTTGGCTTGGAATTTCACTTCTCCGTGGGATTTCACTTTATTTTTTTAAAATAACCGAACAAAAAAATGCACTTTTTTTTCTCTTGGATTTTGTTGTTATACTTCTTTTTAGATACTTTTTATATGGAGCTTCCTTCTTTATGGGAAATATTTTCTTATTTTGTATTTATATTTTCCCAATTTTTTTTTCACTTAAAAGAACGAAAAGAAACCAATTTAGTTTTCTTTGCTTTTTCGGAGATGTTTTATTTATTTTTCGTGTGGCGAAAATTTTGCCAACAGGGGAAACAATTTATTGAATTACTTCATTATGTTTCACTTCGACATTTTCACTGCCTCTTCTTCTTCTTGTTCTGCTACACTGTTTTTTTTTTTTTTGCCAACTTCCCCCGGGCGTTAAAGGCTGGCACTCAAACAGTCAGGCAGACTGGAGTCGTGGGTATACAATGTACTAACTGTTTTTTTTTCTCGTACCGTGCTGCTTCGTTCTGTTCCTCCAACCTACCGACCGACCGACGGACGACTTTGACTACGACAGCGATTACATTTAACTTGGCATATGCTTTTTTTCTTTCGTTTTATTGGATTTCTTATTCTAGTTTGCCGGTTGATATTTTTCCGTTTTTTTTTCTTCTGAACACAACTCGAAAGGTGATTTTCCACAATTTGCTTTCGCGATTTAAGTTTAGCCCTTCAATGAGACTTGAGTTGGAATTCTAAAATAATTCTACACTAGTTTTTCTAAACAATATTTGAATTTTCTTTCGTGATTTCGTTTTTTCTATATTTTTTTTTATTTGGTTGAAGTTACGTTCTTACGTCTACGTGCAGTCAAATGTATTGAGTTTCTCAGTTCGTTTTATCTTTGCTCCCCCTTAACTTATTTCACTTCACTTAGGGGTGGTTTATCGATTTCCTTTTTACTCATTTCAGTAACAACCTACAACGGACTGAAGATGGCGCTTTGAACTCCAATGATGTGGCAACTCTAGAAATGCAAACGCTTTTAGTTAAGGTTGCAAGGGGATACTTAACAAAAACTTATAGAAATAATTTTTTTAGAAAATATAAATTTTAAATTTCAAAAAATATAATTTTTTAATTTATGTTTGTTGGTTTTCAATTAAAATAATAAAAATAATAATAGATTTAGTGAAACTACTGTTGGCAACGCGTTACCAACTCTTCAAACGACAAAGTCACAACAGGGTGACACAGGGATTTTTTATTTTTTCAATGATTAATTTGGACTTTTTTAAGAACATTTTTTAATGAAAAAAAATATACGAATATTTTTTACTAATAATTTTTCAAGCGGCAAATATGCAGAAAAATTTTTTTAAAGAATTTATTTCATAGTCGTGCAATTGGGCGTGGATTTATTAAAGAATATTTTTTCAAGGCCTTATATGAGGCGTGGTTTTATTACGAATATTTTTTCAAGGCCTTATATGAGGCGTGGTTTTATTACGAATATTTTTTCAAGGCCTTATATGAGGCGTGGATTTATTATAGAATATTTTTTCAAGGCCTAATTTATGGCATGGATTTATTAAAGAATAGTTTTTCAAGGCCTAATATAAGGCGTGGATTTATTAAAGAATAGTTTTTCAAGGCCTAATATATAAGGCGTGGATTTATTAAAGATTATTTTTTCAAGGATATAATTTTTCAAGGGCCTAAACAAGGCGTGGATTTATTAAAGATTATTTTTTCAAGGATTTATTAAAGAATCAAAGCCTAATGAATGGATTATTAAAGAATATTTTTTCAAGGCCTAATATGAGGCGTGGATTTTTTTAAGAATATTTTTGCAAGGCCTAATACTAGGCGTGGATTTATTAAAGATTATTTTTCAAGGGCCAACTGAGGCGTGGATTTATTAGAGAATATTTTTTCAATGCCTAATATAAGGCGTAGATTTAATAAAGAATATTTTTTCAAGGCCTAATATAAGGCGCGGATTTAATAAAAAATATTTTTTCAAAGCCTAATATGAGGCGTGCATTTATTAAAAAATATCTTTTTCAAGGCCTAATATATAAGGCGTGGATTTATTAAAAAATATTTGTTTCAAGGCCTAATATATAAGGCGTGGATTTATTAAAGAATATTTTTTTCAAGGCCTAATATAAGGCGGGGATCTATACTAATAAAAGAGTAAAGTGATCAACTTAACGAAATTTTGGGTGAGGGTCACTCTTGGTCTAAAGGTGACAGATAAGGCTAGGGTTTTTTTGGAAATTCGTACTAGAACGGTACGAAAAGTACTATAAAGTACTAAATGTGATACCATTTGTATTTGGCGAACCAGTAGAGCTAGAACTCTGAAATTTGGATTGAGGGTCACTGATGGAGTGTAGAATAGATCTTTGCTACATCTTTGAAATTCGATCTATAAGTATCCGAAAAGTACTGAAATGTACTAAATTTGGTACAATATCGTAGCATGTGAATGGATTGAGTTAAAAACTTGAAAATTGGAATGCAAATTAAGGTTGAGAAGTAGGGTCGATATGAGGAGAGTTTGGAAAGCGTGTACTCATGTGCACGAAATGTACTATATGGTACTATATTTGGTACAAATTTGATTTGAAGGTACAAATCGAGCTGGAATGCTGAAAATTTAAAGTAACATTACCGTCGGAGTGTAGGATTAGGATATGTACGTAGGTTTGGAAAATTTGTACTTATGTGTACGAAAAGTACTAAATCGTACTATAATTGGAACAATTTGGATTTGAGTGAACCGATAGAGCTGGAACAATGAAATTTGGAGTTAGGATCATTGAAGGGATGTAGGATTAGGGTCAGGATTTAGTTTAACAAATTAATACATATGGGTACTAAATGGTACTAAATTTGGTACAATTTGAATTTTAGATGATAGAATCATGGAAATTGGAGTCAGGATCACTGTGGAGGTGTAAGATTGAAATATGTTGCAAGTTATAGAAATTCGTACTAATGTGTACTAAATTTGGTACAATTTAAATTGTGGCTGAAGCGATAGAGTTGAAATCATGAAATTTAGATTTAGGATCACTGTGGAGGTGTAGGATTGGGGTATGTAGGAAATTTTGGAAATTCGTACTACTGTGTACTAAATTTGGTACAATTTGAATTGTGGGTGAACGGATAGTGTTGGAATCCTGAAACTTGGATTTAGGATCACTGTGGGGGTGTTGGTTTGGGTTAGTACACCGTTCTACGGTGTACTATATTTTGTACAACTTGAATTGTTGGTCAACCGATAAAGTTGGAATCTTGAAACTTGGATTTAGGATCACTGTGGGGGTGTTGGTTTGGGTTACTTAACTTTGGAAGTTTTGGAAATTCGTACTACGGTGTACTAAATTTTGTACAATTTGAATTGTTGGTTCACCGATAAAGTTGGAATCTTGAAACTTGGTTTTAGGATGACTGTGGGAGTGTAGGTTTGGGGTAGAAAGGAGGTTTTGGAAATAAGTACTACTTTGTACTAAATTTGGTACAATTTGAATTGCGAGTGCACCAATAGAGTTGGAATCCTGAAACTTGGATTTAGGATAACTGTGGGAGTGTAGGTTTGGGGTAGGAAGTAGGTTTTGGAATTAAGTACTACTGTGTACTAAATTTGATACAATTTGAATTGCGAGTGCACCAATAGAGTTGGAATCCTGAAACTTGGATTTAATATGACTGTGGGAGTGTAGGTTTGGAGTATGTAGGAAGTTTTGGAAATTGGTACAACTATGTACTAAATTTGTTACAATTTGAATTGTGGATGAACCGATAGATTTAGAATCCTGAAACTTGGATTTAGGATGACTGTGGGAGTGTAGGTTTGGGGTAGGAAGGAAGTTTTGGAAATAAATACTACTGTGTACAAGATTTTGTACAATTTGAATTGTGGGTGAAGATTTGGTACAATTTGTATTGTGAGTTTTGCAAATTCATTTAGTACTACTGTGTATTAGGGTAATTGTGTACTAAATTTGGTACAATTTAAATTGTGGTTGAACCGATAGAGTTCTAATCCTGAAATTTGAATTTGGAATTATTGTTGGGTGTAGGTTCGCGATATGCATAACGTTTTGTTGGATGGTTGAAGAGGGTACTTATGGAAATTGTGTGTGCTAAATGGAAAATTTGGATTTGGGTGAACATTTAGAGCTCGATTCATGTCATTTGGGGTTTTAAGGCCTAATATGAGGCGTGGCTTTATTAAAGAATATTTTTCCATGTCTTAAAAAAATTTTGGAGATACTGCCGAATTTTATTTCAAAATAAAACACAATCGTCAAATATATATTTTAGTGAACACATTCATGCATTTATTTATTTTTATGAAATAATTGTTTTTCGTTTTATTTATTTATTTTTTAGTTATACTAATTTCTAATAACAAAACATCCATTATATTTAAATGTAATTTAATTTTTAAAATATTTAATATTATTTATTTTAGGTTAGTACCAAAAATTCACATCTACTATTAATTGTTTTAATTATTTTTTTTTAATCTATTAAACTACAGATTCTAAAGAGAAAAAATAACATTTTT